GTCCTGCTGTTCCTGTAGGCGTGGATGTCCAGGTGGAGAGCTTGGACAGCATATCTGAAGTAGACATGGTGAGTGACCCAAATCTGTTCAATACCATTTAACAGAAATGACCAATAAACTCAACAATGAATGAGTTAATGAAAGGAGCTCCATGTACGGTGGGTCACAAGGCTTTACAAAAGTCACAGTACAATCACAAAAGCTACAATGGAAGTAATAATATAACAGAAGTAAAGTATTTAAATAAATGAAACAGCATAAATTGGAACTTGAAGCTTGGTCCGCATTGTTGGCAGTTAGTCAGCCTTGTTTCCAGTGAGAGTTGGACTCTGCCAAGGCTGCCCTTTGTCATCAATTCTGTTCATAACTTTCAAGACAGAATTTTGAGGCTCAGCCAAGGTGTTGAGAGGATCTTTTTTGGTGGCCTGAGGTTTGAGTCTCTGTTTTTTGCAGATGATGTGGTCCTGTTGGCATAATCAGAACATGATTTGAGGCTGTCACTGGAGCAGTTTGTAGCCAAGTGTGAGGCAGCTGGGATGAGAATCAGCTCCTCTAAATCTGAGACCATGGTCTTGATCCTGAAAAGGGTAGAATGCCTTCTCCGGGTCAGGGATGAGGTCCTGCCCCAAGTGGAGGAGTTTAAGTATCTCGGGGTCTTGTTCACGAGTGAGGGAAAACTGGAGCGTGAGATCGATAGGTGGATTGGTGCTGCATCTGCAGTGATGCGGGCGTTGTACCGGTCTGTCGTGGTGAAGAGAGAGCTGAGTCAGAAGGTGAAGCTCTCGATTTACCGGTGGATCTACGTTCCTACCCTCACCTATGGTCATGAGCTTTGGGTAATGACCGAAAGAACGAGATCGCGGATACAAGCGGCCGAAATGAGTTTTCTCCGAAGAGAGGCTGGGCTCTCCCTTAGAGATAGGGTGAGAAGCTTAGTCAACCGGGACAGGCTCAGAATAGATTTGCTGCTCCTCCAGTTGAGGTGGCTCTGGCATCTGGTCAGGATGCCTCCTGGACGCCTCCCTGGTGAGGTTTTCCAGGCACGTCCAAACAGTAGGAGACCTAGAGGAAGACCCAGGACACAGTGGAGGGACTATGTCTCTCACCTGGCCAGTGAATGCTTTATGATTCCCTTGGAGGAGCTGGCCCAAGTGGCTGGGGAGAGGGAAGTCTGGGCCTCCCTGCTTAGGCTGCTGCCCCGCAACCCAACTCCGGATAAGTGGCCGAAAATGGATGGATGGATGGATGGATGGATGGATGGACGGACGGATGGATGGACGGACGGACGGACGGACGGATGGATGGATGGACGGATGGATGGATGGATGGACGGATGGATGGACGGACGTACGGATGGATGGATGGATGGACGTACGGATGGATGGATGGATGGACGGACGGACGGACGGATGGATGGACGGATGGATGGATGGATGGATGGACGGATGGACGGATGGACGGATGGATGGATGGATGGATGGATGGAGTGTGAAACAGAAGTTGTGATCAACCAGAACCTTTATTACACTGAAAACATGGGTGAATGAGAGAAAACAGCATCCTGGACCCGGCCCTTTGGTTCTCCATTTCCAGTCGGCTGGACTATTGCAGTGGTCTCCCAACTGGTCTTGCCAAAAAAGCTGTGAAGCAACAGCAGCTTGTTCAGCAACTTCTGCCCCCGAGATTGGACAGTCCATCCCCAGGTCTCCCGGCTCTGGTTCCTCCTCAGAATGCGGGTTGGTGGGATTGAGGAGCTCCTCAGAGTATTCCTTCCACCGTCCGACTATAGCCCCAGTTGACGTCAGCAGCTCCCCATCCCCACTGTAAACAGTGTGAGCGAGTTGCTGCCTCCCTTTCCTGAGGCGCCGGACAGTTTGCCAGAACCTCTTTGGAGACGATTGATAGTCTTTCTCCATGGCCTCACCAAACTCCTCCCACGCCTGAGATTTTGCCTCGGCAACTGCCACTGCTGCACCCCGCTTGGCTATCCGGTACATGTCTGCTCCCTCCGGAGACCCACACACCAGCAACACCCTGTAGGCCTCCTTCTTCAGCCTGACGGCTCCCCGAACCTCTGGTGTCCACCAGCGGGTATGGGGGTTGCCACCACGACTGGCACCGGCCACCTTGTGACCACAGCTAGCAACAGCCGCCTCAACAATCGCAGAGTGGAACAAGGCCCACTCGGAGTCAATGTCCCCCTCTGCTCTCGGGACGCGGTCAAAGCTCTGCCAGAGGTGGGAGTTGAAGACCGTCCTAACAGGTTCTTCTGCTATGGTGAAAATCTGATGTTAGCCTAGATCTGGACAAGTGGGGGAGTAGAGGGAGGTGGAGTGTACAGTCGGTAAAGACGGCTCTCCCTTGCCCTGCCTCCATCTAAATAGGATAGGTTGTGTGTGTGTGTGTGTGTGTGCGTGCGTGCGTGCGTGCGTGCGTGTGTGTGTGTGTGTGTGTGTGTGTGTGTGTGTGTGTGTGTGTGTGTGTGTGTGAGTCGTGGAGGATGGCTGCTTATACTGAGCCAGGATTCTCTGGAGGTTTCTTCCTGTTAAAAGGGAGTTTTCCTCTCCACTGTCGCTGCATGCTTGCTTAGTATGAGGATTGCTGTATAGTCACTGACACTAGTCAGTGACTTGATGCAGTTTGCTGGGTTCCTTATATAGGAAACTTTTATCAGATTGGCTCAATGAACTGACCTGATTGGAATGTTTATGATATGAAGTCCCTTGAGACGACTCTTGTCGTGATTTGGCGCTTTATAAATAAACTTGAATTGAATTGAATTGTTCTTATATCCCTCCACTGGTTACCAGTAAACTACAGAATAGATTTCAAAGTGCTCCTACTAGTTTATAAATCCTTCAATGGCATGGGACCAAAGAACATGTCTGATCTCATTCCTGTATTTCACACTCTTTCACTTCCTGTCTCATCTCCCCAGCCTCTGTTCAGTCCTGTCTTCCCTAATTGCTCCCACCTGCCTCTCGTCTCCCAATCACTCCAGATCCCAGCTCCTCTTGTACTTAAACCCTCCCAGTTTTGTGTTTCTGGTTGGTTCATTAGTGTCCCGTCACCTATTTTTAGACAATCTGATAACTTGTCAAAACAGCGGTTTAGTAATCTGTGAGCGGGAATGTGCTTGTGAACATTAAAAACCCACAAAAGCACGAGATCCTTTTGCTGTTGGTGGAAGTCTCACATATTCAGCTGATAAAAAGTATCACACGAGTAACGAGATGTGCGCAAAAAGGAGCCGCTTCGCGGGGAAAGGAGTGGCGCGAACGGAGTAACAACAAACAATCAGACAGATATTGACGGTAAACTTTGTATTTTGGAGCGATCCGGACAGATATATTGTCTCTGCAGTTTAGTAGGCTTTTATTAGGCTTTAATAAAGGATGATGAGAAGGATAAATGTCCACCAGGCAGTTCAGATAGTACGGCTGTTTTTTGAACTGGAAGCAGAGGAAGTGGACGGAGACTCGCAGCCGGAGTCTGAGGCAAATAGCGAGGATGTTGATGATGATGTGGCAGATCCATCCTTCCTCATAGAAGAGTTGGGTCATGATGAGGTAGAGGATGAAGGAAGAGATCCAGCTCCTCGGAGATCCAACAAGAGGAGTGGGCGGCGCCGCGCAGCTGTCAGATCTCGGCGTGAGACGGAGCCACTCCCCACTCCAAAATCCATGTACATTATTGCCAAATTAATAAAATAAGTATAAATTCAGATAGTCCAGGTTGTCCTGAAATTAATGATACCCCATAAGGCAATATTTATTGTTTTTATTAGAAAATACAAAAGAAAAACCAAAATGAGTCAAAAACGGTGATTTACACTCTGGATCCCAGAGAGCTAATAACTTTTTTTAATTAGTTATTTGCTATATTTAGTCAAATTTTTTATAAATGTACAGTCTAGATTACCAGTCTAAATGATAAAAAACATTTGTCATAAATGTTTGTTGGTTTCACAGTAAAATAAACAACTTTTTTCCTATTCAGATTTTATGTTTTTGAGTGATTTAAGGTCTAATACGCAACCCCGTTATGTCCAAATATAAAAAATAAGCATAGATTCATAAAGTCCAGGTTGTGCTGAAAAGATTGATACCACATAAGGCAGTGGTTATGGTTTTTATTTTGGAAATACAAAGGAAAACTCACTGCAAATTACACCCTGGACCCCAGAGGGTTGAGGCGCCACCCAATGAAGGACGTCAGAGAAGCGGTCAGTCAGAGCGGGACACAACAAAGCTAGCAGGTGTTTTTGAGTAGGCTAACTTTCACGATGCTTTCGGGTGCGGCAAAACGCAAAAAAAAAAATGAAGAGGAACTAAAGAAGAGACAGCGGGGGGCCTTACAGAAGTTTCTGTCGGGCTGCTCGGGCAGCCGTCCGACAGCTGTGAACCTGCTCGAGTCAGCAGAGCCAGAGGCCGGGCCGAGTCAGACCCGGAGGAGACACAACCCGAAGACGCAGTGGAAGATGTGGCGGAAGATGCTGTAGCGCCAACGCCGTCAACATCAGCGCCTTCACAGAAGGACAAACTGGAAGAACAGCAGCCAGCCAGAAGTGAGCCCAATATAGTCTTATAGGAGCCCCTAGACCCAGACAGGGTATTAACAACTAGCTACCCATCTGATCCTGCAAAGTGGTACCAAACTGATGAGTACTTTGCACTAAACTATCCCTCTCAAAATATTGGATATTCTTCTGCATCACAGAGGAAATCTGGAGACATAGACTGAAGCTTAACCAAGGAACATTTCTTTCGACGTGTTTCTGCTGTGACTGAGGCCCTGTGATGCTGGAAGGCTGAAGATTATCCCGGAGTAGATAATGCTAAATGGTTTCCTTGGTAAGTGTTGCTGGTTTTATTAATTATTTGTCAAATAATTTTATTAATGTTCAAATAGCAAAACAATAAGTTCACACTCAGAAAATTGACAGAATTTCTGATTCAGCAGAGGCAACAGCCTACAACACATGACTTATTTTGGCATACAAACAACCAATTTGTAACCAAAAACTAGGCTATGTAAAATGTGAATGAACTTTTATAAGTAAATTTTGTAAGTTTCAGATTTCAATTCATTACATAACATCGATGGAGGGGGGGGGGGGGGGGGGGGGGCTAAAAATGCAGCCTGCCTAGTGTAGTCCATTTATTTAATCCGGCTCTGGTCCCGTGTGCTTCTGATTAAAACCTTTCTGAATGTACTTACCTGCCTGCCTTTTTCTCCTGCACCTTGGATCCTCACCTCAACCTCAACTGGCGTGCACCATGTGACATGGTATAAACACCCAATAGGGCTCTGAGATCCTTAGGTAGCAATCAGCTGGTAGAACCTCGGGTCAGAACCAAACATGGTGGAGATGCTGCTCACATATGCAATCAGCTTTCCAGTATTTAAGGTCTGCCCCGACTCTAGTGTTGTTTAAAACTTAACCCCTCGTGTACTCTTCAGCCTTTACATGAATAGTTTCTTATGCTGCGTCGTCTCCACTGTAATCTGCTCAACCTTAATTCTGTCTTTTCCTTTTAGCTCTAAGTTATGATTTTATTTGTGTTCTCCTGTTTGTTGTTGTGCCATTTAACGCTAGCTGTGAAGCACATTGAATTTCCCCATGTTTGAAATGTGCTACACAAATAAAGCCGCCTTGCCTTGTTTTTGGTGTAATTAAGGTATTAGAACAACTTCTGTTTTCACCCAGGTTCCAGTTTTATTTAATTTTTTACTTCTGTATCAGTAATACTTAGATTTTGTCATGTTTTTGCTTTATTTTATTTTAGTTTGTTGAACCTTCCACTCTTACATCACAGAACTCAAGAACTCCTGCGTCTTGGCTCAACACCTCAGGGCGGAAATCCCATTTCAATTGGGGGGGGGGGGGGGGGGGGACGATAAACAGTAAAACTTCAGAGAGTAATTTTTGGGGGGACATGAATAAATGCTCTACATACAACACTGTATGAGACTCTGTGCCTGTGTCTGACAGGCTCTGGCTGCCTGTGCTCCAGCGACTGGACTTTGCCTCATGAAACCATTTAGCAACAGTTTCATTTCTGTCTTATAGATGTCTTTATCAAAATGCAAGTTTCTACTTACTCGACGTTCTGGAGCATTAAAAAACGACCTGGTCTGCTGACAGTTGGACAGCAACACACACACAGACGGGATGTTGTCATTAGAGCGGAGCTGGAGGATACTGATCAACAATAATATCTTGCCAGTTTTGTACATCTCCATAAGCATCCTTTCCTTTTGTTTTCATTTCAATAACAAGACTGTGGCCTAAAACGGAATAAGCAACTCAGAATAAAGATTTAGAAGTAGATCGTTAATAGTTGAAGCAACATGTCCTGAAATGACACGGCTACTAGCTGACCAGCAGCTGCACGTGCGGACCGATGCAAAGCATTAATTTTAAGTACTAAAACACATCTAACTGTTTCACAACAAAGAGAGAGAACATAAGATGTCAAATTAAAATGTTATTAAATCACATAACATGAAAGCTACTAAAATCCAAATAGTTCCTTATTGATTTTAATATATTTGAAATTTCCTTCTAAATATGTTTAAAAAAATTACAAACTTCAAATCAGTTTTCACAAGTCAAGTATCAAAATGACTGAGATCTCTTTAATAAACCATAGAAATGTTTGTAGGCTATTAGAGAATAACTCTGTAATATTTAATAACTTTATCTAAGTCCTGCTGAACAAAGACACACAAAATCTAAAAATATATTCTTGAAATATTTGTTTCATTTTAATAATACAAATTAAAAACATTTACTTTACAAATACACTAAACATATACATACTCTATAGTTTATCTTTCAGTTGAATCGATCTCTCACTTTTCTCAGTTTCCAGAGTGTTTTTGGGTCTGTGTGGCCAACGGGATCTTTGGCTCTATGTTTTACACTGAGAGCTTTGAGCGACGTGCCTCCACCACACATCTGCTGCTACCAGCTCATCCCTAAGCTGCACGGCGCACCTGCACTCTGACATGTTGTAAACAGCTGCAGAGCCTGGGGAAGACGGGATAAGAGCGGTTAAACGCTGTGGTTTTCCATACATCGGACCAGTCTTGATTTTACCATGTTCATCTGCTAAATAGGATGAAACGCGGACATTTTCATTGATCTATAAACGCTCCGCAGATTCCAGGGGCAGACCATGAAAGCGTACGTGTCCGGAAAAAGGAACTTTTGATCACCTTAGTGAATGGAATAATAATAGTGGAATAATCCTGGAATGACCAGAGAACATGAAGTGACAACTTTTTTTACTGTGGTGGTGGTGGTCTGTCATGAAGGGATCTCCGACCGGTGATCAGAGTCTAAAGATGATCGGTGTCCATGTTTGACATTCATGACCACATCTGACACACATATTTAAGTTAGTAGAACAAGCGTGTGATAAATGACTTCCTGCTGGAAACCGCTGGCTTTCTGATTCCCGCCTCCTGTCTGTGAGCGGGGCAGAGCCGGCAGCCCCGCCCGTTGGAAACAGCGCGTGTGGACCGACCGTACCAACTTGAGGAATTGGGGGGGGGGGGGGGGGACGACTATAATTCCTCAACAATTAAAAACATTGTTTTGTATTTGCAGAATAACTTTTACGTTGTGGTTTTAGAAGACAATACAGGTTTACTGATAGCATTTATGTGTTTACAATAACTTTTGTGGGGGGGGGGGGGGCAACTTTGTGTGAGGGGGGGACGTGTCCCCCCCCCCCCCCGTGTCCCCCGGGATCCCCGCCCATCACTTGTAGTTAAAGTGGGAAAGCAAATTCAAACTGTCCGCCTGCATTTGTGCTGATCGCTGTTTTTACTCCTAAGCTAACGTCGCACCTCTGACATCTTTCAGCTTCTGTCGGGTCTCTAACAGGGTCAGGGTCAGGGCCAACACGGTGGCGTTGGCTCAGGTGGACAACGACAGGTCGCTGGAAGGAGAGGGAATTCTTTTTCAGCCTATATATTTGAACATAAATTCAATCTGTGTTAGAAATTAAAGTTTAGAATCAGATCTGAAATCAGCCGACATATTTGAGCTGTGTCTAAAACATATGAAATCACATCTGAAGCGTAGAGAACGACAGGTTGTCCACGCACGGCGATGGTTGCGTGCACTCTCAGCCCCGCCACGAAGGGACTCACGGGGAGGACAGTCGTGAGCTGGCTGTTGGACTTCAGAATGATCACAACCAGAACATAAAGCTCATTTGCAGGAATTAGTCGTTTTGGCCAAAGTCAAAATGAATTTAGTGCAGGGTGACGTAATTATTCAACCTTCTGTTCTGGAGCCATGAATGTGATCTTCAGTAGTCGTGATGATGTTGTGTAAGCGAGGACGCACGAGGATTATGTTTCATTAGACCCCAAGGTTGTGTGTTTAAACGTTAGATCCACACGTTTACGAGTGTGTCAGACAAACGGCAACAGGCTTCCACCCACAAGGGCTGAGTCTGACGGACGTCTGTCAGCCTGGCGGTGAGAACCTGCTGGATATGAAGCAGGTTGTAACAAACCTGTGGCAGTAAGAACACACCTGGCGACTCTGGTATGATGTCATCTTTACTAACCAGCAGAAGATGCTGGTCTGTAACGGGCCATGCCTGTGGACTCCAACAACGTCGTGTCAGAGTCGGAGATTATTAATAAGACCTGAAGTTTGCAGCCTGGATGGAGGACATCTGCCCCTCTGACGGAGTTAGCAGTTTCTGAGTCGTCAGAGGGAATCTCCTTAACTCTTCTTACACAACGCCAGGCGGCTCCTCCTGTTAGGGAACATTGTGTTGCTGCAGCCGCTCCTCCTGGTCTTATATAATGGGACTGGGGATGATCCGGGGGCGGGGGGTCCTGTCTGCGCGAGGTGAAATCAGGCAACATGACAGGACTAATCTGCAACCACTAACCACTATTAGTTGTGTAGGGTTGACATATGTTTGACACTTTTGTTGACTGAACATTTAGTCATAGAGCTGCTGAATAATCCAGCAGCTGGGAGTAGCAAAGCTGTAATCCCAGAGGAATTCATTAAGCCAGAGGAGGCGAGCAGAGCGAGTCCTCATGGTGATCCTTAATCCAGATGGTTCTGTCCTCCCTGTCCTCCTCAGGACTTCACCATGACTCTGTATCTGAGACACTACTGGAAGGACGAGCGGCTGGCCTTCCCCAGCTCCACCAACAAGAGCATGACGTTCGACGGGCGCCTGGTGAAGAAAATATGGGTCCCTGACGTGTTCTTCGTCCATTCCAAAAGGTCCTTCATCCATGACACCACCACTGACAACATCATGCTGAGGGTCTTCCCAGACGGACACGTTTTGTACAGCCTGAGGTGAGAACAGGTCTGGACCGGGCCAGGTGGGCTCTGGCGCCGCTGAGCTTCACGCTCTGCCCTTATCTCCTCCAGGGTCACGGTTACTGCTGCCTGCAACATGGACTTCAGCCGCTTCCCTCTGGACTCACAGACATGCACACTGGAGCTGGAGAGCTGTGAGTACGACCACGCCCTGACCACACATCAGTTCATGGACCAATTACTAAAGACCGGGCTGAGCGCACACCGAGGGAACACAGAACCCGTCGTGTCAGCGACACGTCCACTAGGTCCAAGTCAGACTCTTCCAACTTTGTCTTTAATCCTCATTAAACCTCAAACATGATGGTGACAGGAACTGTTGTCCCTGCTGGTGCTGTGGGACCAGTACCGGGACCTGGAGAGGCCCGGTACTCGTCCAAGTGTCTGTCACCTTATGCTCTCACTTATAATCACCTGTATTTATAAAGCAGCCCTACAACCCCCCAAGGCACTTTACAACACAACAGTCAACACAATCACACACTGGTGATGATGAGCTACATTATAGCCACAGCTACAGCCGTGGGACAGAAGCCAGCGGTCCGTCTGACCAGGCCAGGACGGTAAAGGGCCTTGCCCATGGACACCACTGCGACAGCGGGGCTCAAACCTGCAACCCTCTCCCAACGTCGCCCTGGAAATATTCATGGTCATCTAATTATGAAACCGTGTAATGTAACTAAACATGTTTTAGTTACATATCCGACACAACGAGGAACTTAAACCAGTTTTATTCCTGTCATCACCTCCTGGTTCACCGTCACCATGAAGCATCACGCTGGTGTAAACGACTCAAACGTGGCCCTGAGCAGCAAAAACACGGGGATGTTTGAAGAAGAGGCATGGCATAATTACACTGCCTTGTCTTTATTAATACAATAATTAACATTAAACTAAAGCCCCTATTGACCCTAATCAAAAAATGTAAAAGAGGAAAATGTTCATTGCTTTTTTCTTTGATGAGGAAGTTACCACCAAATGACTCAACACTGCCACCTGCTGACAACGGAGGTCTGCAGAGATCTTGAGATGTGGATAAAGTTCCGTTTTGACCCATAAATGCAGGTTTTGGTGGAATAAACTAACACGTGTGTGCTGATTAGGGCTGTTTGAGTCGTTTACACCAACATGATGCTTTATGATGACGCAGAACCCAGGAGGTGATCACAGGAATAAAACTAACTATGTTGAAATTGTGTTTAAAGTCTCTCATTGTGTCAGATTAACATTAAAGGATTTTATAATTAGAGGGTTGCAGGTTTGAGCCCCGCTGTCGCGGTTGTGTCCTTGGAGAATCAGGCATCAGGCCCCCTGTACTCTGTCTGGACCTGCGTTGGGCGTCCGGTGCCGCCCTTTAGTGGGGGGAGGGGTACTGTCACACCCTGTCCTGTCTCCCCGCTCTGTTCAGTCCTGTGTCTCCTGATTACTCCCCGCTGCCTCTCACCCAAGCTCCCAGCCCTCGTGTATTTAAACCCTCTCAGTTCGGTGAGTCTTGTCGATTCCAGCGTGCTCCTTATTAAAACCTTTAAAAACGTTCCTGTCTACCTGTCTTCTTACCCTGCGCTTGGATCCTCACCTCCACTTCACTCACCTGCATCCTGTGACACCCCCCCTCCCCCTGCTTCAGTCCCCCCCCCCCCCCCCCCCCCCCCCCGCGCAGCAGCCGCAATCTCTCTGATGCGCCTGCAGCCTCTCGGAGTTCCTGCTGCTCTAAACATTAAAATAATTATTTCATTTTCTGTTCTTCACTTCTGATTACCTTCAGTGGTGTCTGTTTGTTGCAACCAGCAGGTACAAAAACTAACTTGTTTTTATTTGACTATTTTTCTGTCCTGCCTGTTTATTATCTTCCTGCATCTCCTCTCAATCCTAAAGAGAAACTGCTACCTGGGTTCATATATATTCACCTCATGAGTTACCTTTGAACTGCAGTTCTAAAAGATCTACCGACCGCTAAAACAGCGGAGTGCGCGCCGGCCGCACCGCTGCAGTGAAATCACCGGAGGACAAAACAGGTGATGCGCCCGCTCCGCAGCAGTAAAACGCATCAGGCACAAATAAAAGAATAAAAGACAGAAAACATAAAAGGAAATGAGCCGACATGAACAATTGCGTGTTAAATTTGTTTTTGAGGTGGCGACACTTCGATAATGTTACTGTGGCCGTGCTCAGGACGCAGATGTCTGGAGCGCATCAACGATCAGAGCTCTTCGCCTCTCAGCTCTACATAATCCCAGCAGAGTCCACATAGATAATGTAATATCAGTAGAACCAGGATTGTTTTGGTGCTCCCCCTGGGTGTGTTGAGGGCTTCCAGGAGCGCCCTAGCTCACCTGTAATTCGAATCCTGCGTGTAGCACAAGTTTGTCACGTGAGTTGCCGGAACGGTCCTTTTAAAATAAGATAGTTTCCGGATCTTATTCCCGCTAGATCCGGCTCAAATTAAGCCCTGTGGATTTAGGTATGCTCCACCAAATGGCTGACCACACAGGTAAAGGGCTACAACCAGAGTTTAGGTTATGAAACAAAAATAACTTTCATCGTACTGGAATCATTATAGTCTACCATGAAAATGTTTCAGACTTTTTATCTCAGTGATCATGTTTGGCATGAGGACACAACCCTGAGAGATTCAAATGAAATCACATTCTTGATTTGTCACACAAAGAAAACACAGACACACTGTGCTGTTATAAAAGCAGAGAAGAGCTGCTACGGGAGCCTGGATGGACAAATAGGAAGTAGAGTAAAAATTGTTAATTTTTATTTTTTACAAATATCAGTGTTTGAAATTACTACTCAATGGGAAACTTTTGCTGAATTCCTCAGAATGTGTTGCGGTCATAGCTGAAAAGGAAAAGTTTGATTTCTGAGTCATACATTTCACCACCTGTGTGTTTTGCCCTCGTTCTGCCACCATTTCTTGTTCCCTTCTCTGATGTTTTTTTCTGATATCCATTAGTCATCAACACTTACCTGTCAGGTAAAGTCCTGTGTGGTCTGTGGGCCAGTTGTGACCCTATGAGTGGTTCTGTTTGACCCACAACTCCATGAGGTTCTACTGGGGCCCGTCAGCACTGAAGGGTGATGCAGGCTGCAACTTTCTTTGAGCAGTACCTTTAGAACCAATTTTCACTAGAAGAGGTAGCAGCTGTGGCGGCCATCTTGAATGGGATTGACTCCCAAAACCAAATGATTAAAATCCTGTGGTTAACGAGATGGACCCCCCCCCCCACACACACACACACACAGGTTTTATTTTTCGTTTTATTCTAAGGTTTGTCCACATCTCCTCACCCACAGACGCTTACACTGACGAGGACCTGATGCTGTACTGGAAAAGCGGTGATGAGTCTCTGAGCACAGACGACAGGATCTCTCTGTCTCAGTTCCTCATTCAGAAGTTCCACACCACCTCCAGGCTGGCTTTCTACAGCAGCACAGGTAGACAGGACTGTCTCCGCCCCCCTGGCTTCAGCTGAGCCACAGATCCAAAACTCCAGCAGCTTCCTGTGTGATTACGTGTGTGAGGCCTGAGACCGTTGCCGTTGTTTATTCTAAAGTTCATGAGCACGTTTCACTTACCCGAGTTAGCTCAGTGCTGTTCCTGGTGGTGTTACTCTCCAGTCAGGTAGCTAAAGCCACTGACTTCATGAACGGTGTTTGAAGTGGTGTTATAGAAACACCGTTGGCTCCTCTGATCAGAATCAGATTGATTTATTGCCATGTAGGTGAGAGGCTCATCTACCAGGACTTTGTGTCGGTGGCGAGGTGCAAACGTACATTCAGGTCAAAGTCAGGTCCGGCAGCATTTACATTCAGATACATCAAATAAACAGAAGTAGAAACACAGCTAGAAAACAATGTGTAGTAATGCGGGTCACCGGGGCCTACTGGCTGGTCATCGGTTGTTCAGGAGACTTTCAGCAGATGGGAAGAAGCAGTTTTTGTGGCGTGAGGTTCTGGTCTTTAAGGACCTGAGCCTCCTCCCTGAAGGTAGGGTTTCAAACAGTCCATGACCAGGGTGAGAGGGGTCAGCTGTTATCCGACGGGTCATGTACTGATGGAAGGCTACAGCTGATTACTTTCTCCGCTGACCGCGCTACCCGTTGCGGTCTTTGTCCCTGGCAGAGGCTCCTGCGTACCACACAGTGATGGAGGAGGTGAGTATGGATTCGATGATGGCCGTGTAGAACTGGATCATCATGGCATGCAGAGCTTCCTCAGTTGGTGCAAGAAGAACATCCTTTGCTGGGCTTTCCTGATGAGGGTATTGATGGACACCTCCCGCTTGAGGTCATGGGTGATGGTGGACCCAAGGAAGCAAAAGGAGCTCACAGGTGAAATCCGGTTGTCTGTCAGGGTTATGCCGGGCAGCGGTGCCGGTGTTCTCCTGAGGTCTACGATCATCTCCGCTGTCTTCTGCTCGTTCAGCACCAGGTTGTTGTTTCTGCACCAGGACGCGAGGCGCTCCACCGCTCCTCCGTATGCAGACTCGTCCCCATCTGAGATAAGGCCAACGAGGGTGGTGTCATCCGCGGACTTGACCAGTTTCAGCGTCTGGTGGTTTGAGGTGCAGCTGCTAGTGTAGAGGGAGAAGAGTAGAGGAGAGAGGACGCAGCCCTGGGGGGTTCCAGTGTTGGTGGTTCGGGTGTCTGAGACATTTTTTCCCAGCCTCACGTGCTGTCACCTGTCGGTCAGAAAGTCTGTGGTCCACCGGCAGATGGGGTCGGGCTCGGTCAGCACAGATAGAGCTGAGCTGACGTCTACAAGCAGCATCCTTGTGTGGGTTCCTGGGGAGTCCAGGTGTTGCAGGATGAAGTGGAGGGTAAGACTGACTGCATCATCTACAGATTTTACACTACGCTTCACAGTTCTGGAGAGTCCTTCGTTTGGGTCACTCTGGACTTGGTTTTAATGATTTGGCGATAGTTTCTGGTCATCTGGACAAACTTCGATGGAGAGGCTGAATGTTAGTTCTGATTTAGAAGACATTTACCAGCTGTGATGGTTGTTAATGTTGGACGTGAGACTGGAGCTGCTCGTAGCTTTTACTTACACCCACTGGTGTTAGCGGTCTAAGTGTTGCACTCACGCCAGGATTCTGATGTTCTGATGCGGATCAAACCGGTTTGCTGATCAGCTCTCTGCAGAAAACAAAGCAAACTCAGTATCTGCCATTTAAATGGGTCGACTGGCTGTTTTAACGTTTCTGTATAAACTGTAATTAAAGTTTTCATCTAACTTGTGGTGGAAATTTTCCTGAACAGCCTCAGTCCTGAGAAATAGTGTTTACGTTGTTCAGGACTGAGGTGGGGATGTTTCCCAGTCATTCATCGTTTCTTGCAGGCTATGAATGAGGCTGACTGGTTAGTTTTGGGTCAAACGCCGTTCACCGTGTTTGATCAGATGTGTTGTCTCCTCTCCAGGCTGGTACAACCGTTTGTACATCAACTTCACTCTGAGACGTCACATCTTCTTCTTCCTGCTGCAGACCTACTTCCCCGCCACGCTGATGGTCATGCTGTCCTGGGTGTCCTTCTGGATCGACCGCAGGGCGGTCCCGGCCAGGGTCTCCTTAGGTACGCCAGCAGCCCCTGATCCGGCCAATCAGAGGGGAAACGGTGTAGATTTAGAGAAACCCCAAACGGGAGAGAGCGTTCAGGTGTGTTTGTTTCATTCAGCATCAGGTTTTGAGTCCTGCAGCAGAATGACTGCTGCCACCACCAGGGGGAGCCACAAACCCACTGTTATCACACCTGTCTGTGTATTTGTCACCTGCTGCTGCAGCACACAGGTGTGAGAGGACTCAGATTCCGGGTCCTCGCACGTGCATCTGCACATTTAAAAGTTTGGATTCACAGCAAACAAGTAGCTTGTTGGGAGAGTTTGTTAAACATCTAAACCCAGTTAGATTCCCGCCTTCTGACGTAGCCTAGATCAGCGGCTCCCAACCTGAGGTCCTGGGCCTCCAAGGGGATCCCCAAAAGGTTGCAGAGGGTCCCCACCATTTTGTGTGTGCCGAGGCTGTGAGGTTACCAAGATCGTAGCTGTGAACTCCAGATTACGCACCCAATACAATCGAAGCTCTGCGTGGAGACGTAACTCTGTATGTCCGTGTAAAGTTTATAACGACTCACATTTAAACGCGTGCACGCGGGTCAGAGCTGGGGTCGGGGGCCTGGCCTGTCTGGGGGTCCGGGGGAAAAGCTGGGAACCCCCAGATCCGTTTGTCTCCTGTGCAGTGCTCAGCTGTTGGTGTGACTGCTCTATGCTGTGTGTCAGGTATAACCACGGTGTTGACCATGTCCACCATCATCACTGGAGTCAACGCCTCCATGCCCAGGGTGTCCTACATCAAAGCTGTGGACATTTACCTCTGGGTCAGTTTTGTTTTCGTCTTCCTGTCTGTGCTTGAGTATGCAGCCGTCAACTATCTGACGACGGTGAGGGACGGTAAAGACCGGAAGCTCAGAGAGAAGGTCAAGGAACAGGTATTGTGGACTTTCACAGGTCACATGATCTTCACAGGGTTCCACTTCTACTGAGTCCCCCTGTCTCCTCTGTCTTTCGCCCAGTCCCAGACGCTGTCCTGTGCTTGTGGCATGCCTCACAGCAAGACCATGATGCTGGATGAGACGTACGTGGCGGACGCTAAGAGTCTGTCGGGCTACATCAGAACCTCAGAGGGTTCTGAAGACATCATGGACAATCAGGAGAGAATGGTGGTGCACCTAGCTTTGGACAACGAGTCCACAGGGACCAGAAAGAACTGCCTTCATGGCTTCTGCTTCATCCAGAACACCCACGTCATCGACACATACTCTCGTATAATCTTCCCCGGCGCCTACATCCTGTTTAACCTGATCTACTGGTGTGTCTACTGCTGAGGGAGAACATCCCAGCTCCATCTGGTCTGTCAGCTGAGGATCTACCAAACAGAACCTGATCACACTGTTCCACAGCTGGTTCCTCGTGCTTCTCTCCCCATCTTTACAACAATAAAGTTCAAGCAAAGAGCTTGTGTGACTTTTGGAGTTCTGTCTCCGATCTCCAGAGGTCCGATGATGTAACCGTCTCATGTTTGCATCCTGTTGGGTTTCTGTGACGTTCTCCAGAGTAGCTCTAGGCTCCGCTCTTGTTCTTCAGGTCTTCTCTCATTCTAAGACAAGCAGATGTGTGAGGTGAGACAAGCATTTATAGGTGTGAAGTAACTTCTGTGGATTTAATTGTGATGTTCTGCTCCACATCCTGCTGATGGGACTGGCCTGTGGAGGAGGTTGAATCATTAGAACGTTCTGTGGAATCAGGGTGCTTTATTAGCTTGAAACTAAAGGTGGAGACATGTCCGCTGTGTTTATGGGCAGCACAATAATTACATATGATTCAATTAACTCTGTCTGAACATCCACAATTCCTGTCCATAGGCTCGTATTATAATTCAATTCAATTCAATATAAGTTTATTTATAAAGCGCCAAATCACGACAAGAGTCGTCTCAAGGACCATCACATAATAAACATTCCAGTTCAGGTCAGTTCATTAAGCCAATCAGAAATAATGTTTCCTATACAAGGAACCCAGCAAATTGCATCAAGTCACTGACTAGTGTCAGTGACTATACAGCATTCCTCATACCAAGCAAGCATGCAGCGACAGTGGAGAGGAAAACTCCCTTTTAACAGGAAGAAACCTCCAGAGAATCCTGGCTCAGTATAAGCAGCCATCCTCCACGACTCACTGGAGATGGAGAAGACAGAGCACACACACACACACACACACACACACACACACACACACACACACACACCAAGTAGCGTTTCTACGGTTACATTGTGATGTCTTAGTAAATATTCTATAAGGTGAAAGATAAACTTTATTGTATTTATCCTAGTGGATCTATAATTAAACGGGTAAACTAGTAGTAGCACATCCAACGTCAAGGAAAGTAAAAAGTTATTATCAGGAGAGGGAGAATGTTTAAGTGGTTAGCAGCAGTGTGCTAGACGATGGCCCCCTCCATGAGGCCACCACAGCTCAGCAGAACGTCGTAGCTTCTTCTGGGGAGAAAAACACTTACAGAGAAAACAAAGTTAACAGCTGAAGTAGCAGGAAATAATACAGTTAAAGAGCAGATTGTAGAAGAAAGTAGTAGAGTGTGAAAAGTGGTCAGTGTATCCTCCAGCAGTCTAAGCCTATAGCAGCATAACTACAGAGATAACTCTGGATAATATATCCTATTTAGATGGAGGCATGTTGGAGGCAGGGCAAGGGAGAGCCGTCTTTACCGACTGTACACTCCACCTCCCTCTACTCCCCCACTTGTCCAGATTTAGGCTAACATCAGATTTTAACCATAGGCCCCATCAAATAAAAATGTTTTGAGCCTATTCTTAAAAGTAGACAAAGTGTCTGCCTCACGGACTAAGGCTGGGAGCTGGTTCCACAGGAGAGGAGCCTGATAACTAAAAGATCTGCCTCCCATCCTAATTTTAGATATTCTGGGAACCACCAGTAGACCTGTAGTCTGAGAGCGAAGTGCTCGGTTAGGAACATATGGAACAATCAGATCACTGATGTATGATGGAGCTTGATTATTAAGAGCTTTATATGTGAGAAGAAGGATCTTAAAATCTATTCTGAATTTAACAGGTAGCCAATGTAGGGAAGCTAAGACAGGAGAGATATGATCTCTCTTTTTAATTCTCATCAGAACTCTAGCTGCAGCATTTTGGACAAGCTGAAGACGTTTAACTACATTCTGTGGACTTCCTGAGAGTAATGGATTACAGTAATCCAGTCTTGATGTAATAAATGCATGAACTAGTTTTTCAGCATCACTCCTGGAAAGGATGCTTCTAATCTTAGCAATATTCCGAAGGTGGAAAAAGGAAATCCTACAAACCTGTTCAACCTGGGATTTGAATGACATGTCCTGGTCGAAGATAACACCAAGGTTCCTTACTTTGTTCTCGGAGATTAATGTAATGCCATTCAGTTCAGGTGATCGACTAAGCTATTTGCTTGTTTCTGACACCAGCCCCCAGTGGATGAGAGTGGAACTGCAATTTTTGTCACTTCCTGTTTTGCTTCATTTCCAGACCCGGATTATGGGGGCTTGGTCTGAACACGGAAAATAAAAGCGTTTTGTTTCCAGAGATAAATGTGACTGAGGCAGGCTTTACTGAAGAAACACGGATGAGTCGTGATCTGCTTGTTATTTACTATGTTTATTTATTTATTTAGCTTTTATTTTGAAGGCTACATTAGGATCACATGAGGGGCGTTGGTTAATTCAATATTTTAATTTAATTCTGTCTGGTTCTCCCAGTTTGATAAAAGCGTAAAACTAAACATATGAAAAACAAGGTCTTTCTTGGTTTTGGTGTCAGATAAAAAAAAGATTTTTCTCTTTTTGACTTTTTTTTATCGTCGGTTGAAAGAACAAACAAAGAACTTCCTTCAATCCTTCAAAATAAGAGTCTTTAACATGCACACATACCTCAGGTCACCATGGTCTGTTTCTGTTATTACCTGGTAAAACTCAAACGGATTAATAATCTTCAGATGCTAATACCTGAGTGGAGTACCTAGGATTCCCCGTTCACGGGCCCAGCAGCCTTTCAACAGGTGGCACAAAACCCAGAAAATGTTTTTAGATTCAGTTTTGCTGAAAGATTATGAAAGATCCAACGCTGAAACAAGAATGTTTGTTTTCAGACACAAGAGCATTTTCATAAAATTACATCAAAGTTTTTTTTATTCTGGCCCTGTTTTATTTACCCACCTGACACAAACGAGGCCCAGAATAAACAGATCTTCAGCTAAAGCTTAATGCAGATGAGTTACCTAAGGCATGATCTCACCCATTTGCCTCTAGAAACAGAACCTGCATCTGACCTCATGGCATCATCATTCTGAACAGACTGTCAGACATTCAGGTGTTAACTGGAATGTTAAATAATGAGCAAACTGGAAAATAAAGTTTCTGTTTGTCCTAAAAGCTCCTGGAGCCAAGCTAAACTGGTTAGCAATGATCCAGGGCCTTTCTAATTACAGCGCTTCTAGTCTTTTCATTTGATAAAGAAATGTGATATTTGTACAGCATTTGAATGTTTTGATGATGAAGTAATTCCAGGCTTTTGAGGATCCTATCCAAGCATTTAGGCTGGAGACCGTCTCATTGGTCGTGTCCATCATGGACTGTCCTCCTGAGCTTTCTGGCTACGGAAGGTTTTAATGACTCTGTAATAAAATTATTGGTCTCCAGTTTTCAGTGAGATGTTGGTCCTATTGCTTTTCAAGGATAAATGTTTACATGTTGGATTTCTGTACTGAAGTCTGTGTGTAAGTTGTTATTTGGAGATCTTCATAGGAAGCTCTGAGTTCCTGCAGCACCTGGACATTTGTTAAGCTTTGGTTGATCAATAAAGTTTTCTGGGATCTTCTATGGGTCTGCACTGGAAAGAACAAAGGCTTGTTTGGGGCTAAAAGACATGTGGGTCCTTGGAGATGTTCCAGAAATCAGGGTCTACCGACTAAGTTAATGGTTCCACAACTCTGATATCTTCATCATCAACGAAGCCCTGATTCCTCAATTCACCATGGCATCGGGGTGGGAGGCATATCGTCGAAGCAGGACGTCCTTGTTATGGAGAATAAAGTCATGTTAATCTCGTGTTGGATTAAATAATTTAATTCCTCAGGTGAAAAAGAGTTAATTGAGTTCCTACTTGAGGTCATTTAACCTGTCATCATTGTTCTCATCTGTTATCCTGCTCCCTCCACAGCGTCGCTCAGCAATTCAATTCAAGTTTATTTATAAAGCGCCAAATCACGACCAGAGTCGTCTCAAGGACCTTCACATAATAAACATTCCAATTCAGGTCAGTTCATTAAGCCAATCAGAAAAAGTTTCCTATATAAGGAACCCAGCAGGTTGTATCCACATACTAAGCAAGCATGCAGCGACAGTGGAGAGGAAAACTCCCTTTTAACAAGAAGAAACCTCCAGAGAATCCTGGCTCAGTATAAGCAGCCATCCTCCACGACTCACTGGGGATCAAGAAGACAGAGCAGGCACACACACACACACACACACACACACACACACACACACACACACACACACACACACATACACACCAAGTAGTGTTTCTATGGTTACATTGTGATTTCTTAGTAAATATTCTATTTGGTTATAGACTTTATTGTATTTATCCTAGTGGATCTATAATTAAACAGGTAAACTAGTAGTAGCACATCCAATACATGCATACTGTAGAATAAAGTAGTAGAGTGTGGAAAGTGGTCAGTGTATCCTCCAGCAGTCTAAGCCTATAGCAGCATAACTACAGAGATAACTCTGGATAATCTATCCTATTTAGATGGAGGCATGTTGGAGGCAGGGCAAGGGAGAGCCGTCTTTACCGACTGTACACTCCACCTCCCTGTACTCCCCCACTTGTCCAGATTTAGGCTAACATCAGATTTTAACCATAGGCCCTATCAAATAAAAATGTTTTAAGCCTATTCTTAAAAGTAGACAAAGTGTCTGCCTCACGGACTAAAGCTGGGAGCTGGTTCCACAGGAGAGGAGCCTGATAGCTAAAAGATCTGCCTCCCATCCTAATTTTAGATATTCTGGGAACCACCAGTAGACCTGCAGTCTGAGAGCGAAGTGCTCGGTTAGGAACATATGGAACAATCAGGTCACTGATGTATGATGGAGCTTGATTATTAAGAGCTTTATATGTGAGAAGAAGGATCTTAAAATCTATTCTGAATTTAACAGGTAGCCAATGTAGGGAAGCTAAGACAGGAGAGATATGATCTCTCTTTTTAATTCTCATCAGAACTCTAGCTGCAGCATTTTGGACAAGCTGAAGACTTTTAACTACATTCTGTGGACTTCCTGAGAGTAATGGATTACAGTAATCCAGTCTTGATGTAATGCAGTTTTTGCCCATTGCTTGAACACTGTAGACACATGCTTAAACCAGAGTAACCTAACTTGAAGTTGTTGTCACTATACCTTAAACAAAGTGCTGCTTAGCACTTTAGTTGCACTTCTGCAACACATTTGGTCCTGCACATTTCACACATTTTCATACATAAGACACATAATCTCAGTGTACCATTGGGAAAACACATCAGTTCAAAATACAATACAAATTGGGTAGTTGAAAATACTTAGACACACACCTGAAAATACTTAGACACAAAACAGAACACCAGTAAGCCAGCTACAAAAAGACTCACTTAAGCCCTTCTGAGAACTTTGCAAGCGTGGAAGAAGGGAGAGCTAGAGTCAGAGGCAGAGGAAGACAGAGAGAGAGAGGAGGATGCGGTCGAAAAGGCCATGCAAGAACCGTTATTTCTGATGACATAAGAGCAACTTTGGTGGACCATGTTATAAACCATGGTCTGACTATGAGGGAGCCTGGGCAGAGAGTCCATCCTGATCTTAGCTGTTTCACAGTTTCATCCATAATTAGGACATTCAGACTGGAAAACAGGTATGTCTTCATCTCTCTACTCAGACTGTATCACATTTACTGTATTTCAGGTGCTCCTTTTTGAACAAAAGTAGTAGTTTTGTGAAACCTACGGTGTTATAACATGTTGAGATGTTTCAGTACTGTGTATGGTATTCACAGTAAAGTACAGTATGTACAGCACTGTAAAAAATAAGGCAAATAAGCCAACCAATAACAATTTCTTGTTGCATTTTTCTACAGAATGACTAGAAGACCTACTGGGGGTGGACGCCAACGCCTGTTCATCCAACAGCAGGAACTTGCCATTGTCAACCTAGTCAGAGCGAACGATGCGATCCGTCTCCACCGGCTACAGCAACAAATACTTGAAGATTGGCAGGTATTCAACTACATAGACCAAGTAAGCATCACCACTAACAGACACTCTTGATAAAGCACAACATGACCATGAAGCGACTGTACAGGGTCCCATTTGAGAGGAACAATGTCAAGGTCAAACAACTTCGACATGAATATGTACAGGTAAGTGTTACAATCCTTTACATTTACAGTACAGAATGGATGCAGTCCAGTAACATCTGAATATTTACTATTGGATAAGTACCACATAGATATATTCAGAAAGCTACACAGGTAGCTGTGTAGTGGGGTTAGGGTTAGGGTTTTCTGTATGCGTAGCGGCATAGTTGCGTGTTTTGAGTAATGCCATCTACAATATGTATTTTTTGTTGTTGCAGAGAATCTTGGACATGGATGGAGCTGCTCAGCCTCATGAATTTATTTAAGTTGATGAGGCTGGATTCAACCTTAGCAAAAGTAGACAACGAGGACATAATATGCTTGGCCAAAGGGCGATTGTGCACGTCCCGGGGCAGAGTGGAGGAAATATCACATTGTGTGCCGCCATAAATCTCCGAGGGCTATAGCCATGGAGTAGAAGCACCCATGCATATATTGCACCATCATTCCAAACTGGGGCAATATAATGCACAATACATAATCACATTTCTAGATGCACTTCAGGATGCAACTGTACAGACTGGAGCAGCCCAGGTTTGTTGTTGTCTGGGATAATATCAGTTTCCATCGGGCTGCTATCGTCCGGGACTGGTTCACCAACCATGATAAATTTGATGTTGTGTATTTGCCCCCTTAATCGCCATTTCTCTACCCTATAGAGGAGATTTTTTCCGCTTGGAAGATGGCGCGTATATGACTGCCAACCACATGCCCGCATGCCTCTTCTGCAGGCAATGGAACAGGCCTGCGGAGACATTGAGGTAAGGTCAATCCATGGCTGGATACGACATCCAAGGGGATATTTTCCCCAGTGCTTAGCAAGAGAAGACACTGCCTGTGATGTTGATGAGATCCTGTGGCCAGACCCCAACAGATGGTAGGATCCATAAGGCCACTCGCACAATTGTGTTTTTCTACGTTTACAGTAGTTCATTGTTTTTTGTTTTTATTTTTATATATTTTTTGCTTTAACTGAATTTACTGTACTGTAAAGTACACAACTGTAATATACAGTATTTAGTATTTCTGGGTGTTGTGGAAACGTGCCTTCTTTGGAACTGAATAAAAACAATGGAAACAAAAACTTGCAGTGTTTTATATAAAGTAGACTAGTGTGTTGCTGCTGATTTGAAAGTTTATTCATATGATGCAAGTGGGTATAATTTTGTCATTAGAGTGTCATTTTGACAAAGGTTTGTTAGGTTTTGATAGCAAAGTTCAGTTTGGCATAAATGTGAATGGTTTATTTCCCAGAGTTGTGTCTTATTTTCTTGTGTGTAGAGTTTTGTTATGATGAGCCAAGTGTTGCAAAATGTGTTCAAGCAATGGGCAAAAACTGCAATGTTAATTTGTGTGTATTGGTTTACTTTCCTTTTCTGTGGGTGTCGATGAAAAAGAAATATGATTGTTCTGTTTGACAGTTGAAAAAACTCACCTCAACTCAACTTTATTTATAAATCGCACCTTACAGGCCAAGGCGCTACACAGACCAAGTAAAAACATATAACATTGGGTCCGGAAAATAAAAACATTGGATCACATGATACAGACAAAAAACAGTGAATGCACGGATCACTTTAAGTAAAACGATAAATACTAGTTAGAAAGGTTAAAAGACAGATCATAAAAGTAGGTTTTTAGCCTTGCCTTAAAAACCGCCACAGAGGTGGAGGCCCTTGTGCTGAGAGGAAGCTCATTTCAAAGCTTAGGACCTGCCACAGCAAAGGCCCTATCACCACGTGTCTTTAGGCGCGGTCTTGGGACCGAGAGCAGCATGAGGTTCTCCGAGCGGAGTGACCGTGAAGGGGTGTGCAGTTGAAGCAATGACACAAAATAAGGAGGGGCCAAACCATTTAATGTTTTAAAAACCAGCAAAAGTATTTTAAAACTAATCCTTACATCAACGGGCAGCCAATGAAGCGCAGCCAGGACAGGAATAATGTGATAATATTTGCGCCTGCCCTCTAAAAAAAACTGGCAGCAGCATTCTGCACCATTTGCAACCGGGCTATTGCGCCCTTGCTCACACTGAATAAAACACTTGCTGCACATCTTTTCACTACTCCAGTCATGGGTGAATAAAACATTTGTATTTTTAGAGTTTTTCTGCGAGGGACTCTTCATGCTGCTCCATGACTGCTGCCAGATAGCATTGTCTCTCTTTATGTTTTTGAGGGCACAATGGCGGTGCTGTTGATGACAACGGCGTCCCAATCACAAGCTTGAGTTCTCCGTTTCGTCAGATAGATGTTTAGAAAAGAGAGCGAGAGTTCGCAAGGACAGACAATGCCATTGTATGTCTCCGTCCTGATGCAGACGGAGAAGTATAAATTAGGCTTTAGCTTAAAAGCATCCTCTGTTGTACAGGCAGATGAATTACCCACAAATTACAACTCATTTTCTGCCTGAGACAAGGGGTGCAAAATAGGGCAGTGGGAAAAAAGAATGTGCAGCTTGAAAAGCAGCATTTGTGACTCACATCAACAGTTTTGTGCAGTTGCATTCAATCATTTGTGTTTGTGGTAAGGAAAAACATGACAAAACCATATATTCGTGGGAAGATGCTGATACAAGTGTCTAGATTAGTTATTCTCCAAATTAGCTGGACAAAGTGGAGAAAAATCATTAAAGCAGGAATTCCATTTTCTGTAACTTGCAGTAACAAGTTAGAATACCTTCAGTGAAGAATGTGTGAAGTGTAACAGTAGTTTTGTGTCTGTGAGTGACAGTAAAATAGGCATGTAAGTTATTTATTTCATACAAAAGTATGTGGACGTTTTTGCAGGGTTTGTTTTGGATAAATTGGGACAAAACTGTAATGTAAGATGTTTTTTATTTTTTTATTTATTTGTGTGCTTGTACCAAAGATTCTGAGCTGTTGTTTTTGTACTTGTGAAAGATAGCTTTTTCTGAAAATTTTCTCTGATTTCAAGTTCCCAGAGTCGAGAAACAAATATTTTTGCACCAGATATTTTGGATCAACTGGAGTAAAACTGTAACTGTAAGATTTTTTTATGTAACTGAAACAATGCATTTTGTGTACAATATGTAGGCTATAGCTGTTGTTTTGTACCTGTTAAAACTAGGATTTTTCTGGTATTTTCTCTGTGACTTCAAGTTCCCAGTGACGGAACACAAATGTTATTGCACCAGATTTAGCTCCATACAACACGAGCCGTGGTCATCAGTTTTGGCACGAATCAAACCCCATACATCAGCGGAGCGCGTTTTGCGACAGCCGCTCGTTTGACGGCAGTAGTGTTTTTGTTTTTATCTGTTTTTTCCGATACTCGCTCCGGTAGGAGACCACGGGACCGAGGCAGGAACCAGCTCAGGACGGGAGACTACTGGGTCCGTTCCTCTCGGTGGTGAGGACTGTTTCTTTACTTCCCGGGCTCGGTCGGTACCGACCGGACCGATAAACTGATTTACGAGATGAGAGGAGCATCAGATCTGTTCTGGTTCTGGTTCGACACCATCTGAGTCTAGAATCACTCGTTCGTTTTACAGCATTTAACTTTTTTTGGTGCCTGCTTCAGTTTCCGGTTTAAGTCTCTGAATATGTTCACTTCCTCTTTGTTTCCTGGTGTTCACGTGAGTAACATGAATTCACTCTCACGCATCAGAGAAAGTCAGGACACCAGATGATGGTTAGAAACACCTAAAGGATCTGGCACTTTGTTAGGTTCACCTGCATATCTAACCAGCCAATCAGGTGGCACACTTTTAGAGGTGGAGAGGAGGACCTGATGGAGCTCAAACTGAGCATCAGGGTGAAGAAGAGTCTGGACTTTAGTCGGGTCAGAACCTGGTTGGTGAGCTAATGGTGGTGGGATGTTCTTGTGCCACTCTGGACCCATCAGAAGCACCTGAAGTCCAACCAGCCATTCTCCCCTTCCCCACACATTCCTCTCCTCCTGCTCCCTCACATCATCACACAAACATGCACATAGGACCTTGGGGGGTGGACAAGTCAGGGGGGTGTGGTTATGGACCCCATTTCCGCATTCCTGTGGCAGACCGCCCCCCAATTTTATCTGCACCTTAAACACTTCCACCGACGACATTCCACGCAAACACACACTTAGGGCCTTGGGAGTGAGCACATCCAACGGCATTTGGCAGGGGGATTTCTCAGCCTCCTCCCAAGCGCCGGTGCCCACTTCTAATTTTAAACTGCACTTAGACACTGAGGGCTGTGGGTGCAAGTGGGGTGGTGTGGTGGCATCAGCTGGCATAGGCCAACGATGCCTGCACTGCCCACTCACCACAGCCACTAATACACCTCATCAACATTCACCAACACAGTATTGGAGCAGGTGGAGGGGGACTAGGGGTCTTAGCACACCTCTGTTGTTGCTTGGCTTCCTGGGGCTGGAGGCTAGGAGGGAGATCCGGCCGTCCGGTTGGGGTCTGGGGTGGTGGGTTGCTGTGCTCAGCGTTGGGCGGGGAGCCTTCTCATCAGCACCCCAGCAGAAAGGGTCAAACTCTGGTAACCGGTGATGGTTGTACCCCACGTGCAGCAGTACCGGGACCAGAGTGAATAGGGTGTGTATGGGGAGCATGAGTGGGTGTCTAGCGTTCATTTATGTAAGTCTTTGGTTGTATGTGTGTGTGTGAGCATGAGGGAGGGAGTGTGTGACTGTATATGTCAGGTGGGGCCTTTGACTCCTCCCTTCTCCTGGAACTTCTTTTGATGATATAGATCTTCGTCTCCCCTCCCCCTGCCACACCTGGTGTGGAGTGCCGTGTTTTGGTCTGCCTGGGTCGTGGCTCCCGGGTCAGGGGGTGTAAGATTTTTGGCGTCTGCCTGACCAATCCCGGTGGCTGCCTGGTGGGGTCTGGTTCCCTGGGCTCTGCTGGATCCCCAGCGGGGGTGGTCGCCCCTGGGTCCCAGGTTGCTGAGTCCCGGGCTCGGCCGGCTGGGGGGTGGGAGGCTGCGGGCGGGCCAGTGGGCTTGCCGCTGATATCTCCCGGGACTCTGCCGGCTGCTGGTTGTGGCCCCCCGAGGGGAGCGGGGGCTTTTCTGGTTGTGGTCTCCTTGGAGTTCCTGTGCTCTGGGGCAGCTCCTGGATCTCTGGGACTTGGAGCTCCTTCCGTCTCCTACACATCTTTGGGGGGCAGATCTGTGGTCCCTCACACTCTCTGTTGGACGCTCCTATAGAGAAACCTTACATAAACAAGCGCGTGTACACACACAAGTGCTCACATGGTGCTCTCATCAGTATGGACTTGGGCACGTTCAACACTTGTCTTAAGGCTGTGGTTGGCACTAAATGCACTGTGATTTATTATTGTCAATGTTCAGTAAAACAATGTTGATTTTATATTTCATCAAGGTGACGCAGTGATAGCTTGCTCCTGTTGTATTGTTGTGTGTTGTTTTTCTGCAGGTCTAGAAGCAAACCCTTGTTCATCATTGATTGTTTATTTTCGTGGAACACCCCCCCCCCCCCCCCCCCTTTTTTTTTGTCTTTTCCTTTCTCTTTCACCTCTGTCTCCGTGTCTGGTCAGAATTACAAAGCATTCAACAACAATAACAATAAAGTTTTAAGTATCAGGCGTGACATTAAAAGCAAACACTTTGATGCTCCACCTGAGAGTAAATCTGTAAGGCTTGTTACCAGCATTCAGACATCAATTCTGTTTGCTTCACAGCCAGACAGGACACGGTATAAAATAAAAAAATAAAAAAGAAGCACCTGAAGCACCTCCGCCTACCTGTGTTGGTATCCCAGGTGTCTGTAGAACTACTGCTGTGTGCTCTTAGCTTCTGGGTTTAAATGGGCTGTGTGGTGGTGCAGTTAGCGCTGTTGCCTCGCAGCAAGAAGGTTGCACGTTCGAAACCCGGCTGCAGCCTTTCTGCGTGGAGTTGCATGGTCTCCCCATGCATGCGTGGGTTTCCCCCACAGATCACAACATGCCCTGTAGGTTAACTATTGTGCATCTCTCGATAAAAACGTCTGCCAATGAAATAAACATGAACATAAATGGATTTGCATTTTAGTGAAGGTCCAGGAAGCCTAATGTGTTTAAACTCTGTCACTCAGTCATGAAGCTCTGGGTACCACCCAGTACACTGATGTGTGTCCATCTGTCCGTGTCCCAGGGGAGATGATTAGTACGGCACACTGCTGACAAGGTCAGGGGTCAACAGGTGTATAATGGAACCATAATGCTCTCTAATGGACTCCAGGGTGGATGTGAGTGTTCGACATTCGCCCTGAATCACTGTAAGCGTGCTTTACCCAAGGCTCTCTCCTGTTCTGTTATTGGATGAATTGAGATAAAGAAGGAAACAAATTAATTTAAAGGAGCAGGCAGCCGCATGCTGGGACTGCCACGCTTCTAACATCCATCCATCCATTTTCATCTTCTTATCTGGAGTCGGGTTGCGGAGGCAGTAGCCGCAGTCGAGAGGCCCAGACTTCCCTCTCCCCAGCCACTTGGGGCAGCTCCTCTGTTGAAATCTCAAGGCGTTCCCTGGCCAGGTGAGAGACATAATCCCTCAAGCATGTCCTGGGTCTACCTTTAGGCCTCCTCCCGGTTGGACGTGCCCGGAAAACCTCACCAGGGAGGCGTCCAAGAGGCATCCTGACCAGATGCCCGAGCCACCTCAACTGGCTCCTCTCGATGTGGAGGAGCAGCGGGTCTACTCCGAGCCCCTCTCGGATTACCGAGCTTCTCACCCTATCTCTAAGGGAGAGCCCAGCTACAGAGACAGAGCCTGCATGCTACTCTCCAGGCCAGTGCATGTCGGCACGGAGCGCACGCAGGCTGTGGGGTGGTGGTGGTGGGGGTGCGTTCAAGATTTGGGGCCAGGCCAGGACCAAAACCACATTGCTCCTCCTGAATCTGAGGTTCAACAATCCGACGGACCCTCCTCTCCAGAACCCCTAAATAGACCTTACCAGGAAGGCTCAGGAGTGTGATCCCCCTGTAGTTGGAACACACCCTGCGGTCCCCCTTTTTAAATAGGGGGACCACCACCCCGGTCTGCCAGTCCAGTGGAACTGCCCCCGATGTCCACGCGATACTGCAGAGCCGCGTCAGCCAACACCGCCCCACAACATCCAGAGCCTTAAGGAACTCCGGGCGGATCTCATCCACCCCTGGAGCCTTGCCCCAGAGGAGCTTTTAACCACCTCAGCACCAGAGATGTGAATCAGAATCAGATTCAATCAGAATTGTGGCTCTCAGAGACCTGCTACTCTGCCATCACCTGTCTGAGCTTGTTAGAGACACCTGTCCTACTAGATTATGGACCTCCACAGAGCCGGAAAGGGCTTGAGGCAATCGGACCAAGCAGCTTGGTGAAAGTGGATCAGCTGTTGGAGCAACTGCATTCTGAAAGTTCTGTTTAAAGTTTTCTTTTTATTGACGTCATGATAATCTAATGTTCTCAGACGCTGAATTTCTCACCTGTAGCCTTAATCATCACAACTACCAGAATGGAAGGAATATGTGTGATGACTCTATATAGTATGAGTTTCATGGTGGTATTATATAGTTTTAGATGTACCTGTGTCTGACTGATGCATACATATTTTATGTCTTATCATCCTAAATGTGTATTTTGTATTTAATCATCACTAAACGGCTCAACTCTGCCCCCTGCTGGTTTAAATCTGAATGTTGTTCTCTAACTTTCATAGTTAACTAGAACTCTGTCTGATTCAAACTGAACGTTAAATCATCCTGATCCTGGTTTCTACGACTAGCTGTTTGCCTTTAGTCTCTGGACCTTCTAACTCTGCTGACGGCGTTGTAGCGCCACGACAGAGGGTTGTTTCTGAGGAGTGGGCTGGACGCGCCTCCTCTCTGAGCCATGAGGGGTTCTGAGTTCCAGAAGCTTCACACAAAGCCGCGTTGCCTAGCTGTGGCTAAGGAGCCTCTCTGACCTCACCAGGCGGCTTTGTGTGGGACTAAAGACCATCCTCACAGATTCATCTGGAATGCACTGGACAGAATTACCTCCCTAATCTTTTCAGGTTTAGCTGGCAGGAAGGCTCCAAAGTCCCCAGAAAGCTGTGAGGGTTGGCTGCACTTCAGCATTCAGGAGTTTGTTGTTTTCGAACATTTTTGAGAAAGAAAAGTTGTTTACTGGAACATGTGGTGCATCCCAGTCCCCACACTGATCAAACATCTCTGTAACATTTATGCACCTAAACTAGAAAACTGATGGGGCAAACACCCCAACGTCTTTCCAGTTGTGAGAATGCACGAACCCTTTAGAGAACTTTATTCCTCATCTAAGTCCACGGTAGTCTTCGTGTGCAAGACCTTAGAAGCAACAGACAGACACGTCTGCAAATGAAAACCAGTAAACAACTGGTTTCCTTCTTATTGAGATTCATTAACACACTCCTCAGAGTTCAAATCAAATTAAATCAAACTTTATTTATAAAGCAATTCATCATACAATGCACGTCACTCGAAGTGCTTAACAGATTAAAAAGGCTCCGCACACCCACATTCCCTCCCATCCCCAGAATTTAAAAACAGTCTGTAGATCTGTCTTCATGTCTGTCTGCAGCTCTGTCTGCAGGTCTGTCTGCAGGTCTGTCTGCAGCTCTGTCTGCAGCTCTGTCTGCAGGTCTGTCTGCAGGTCTGTCTGCAGCTCTGTCTGCAGGTCTGTCTGCAGGTCTGTCTGCAGCTCTGTCTTCATGTCTGTCTGCAGCTCTGTCTGCAGCTCTGTCTGCAGGTCTGTCTGCAGCTCTGTCTGCAGCTCTGTCTGCAGGTCTGTCTGCAGCTCTGTCTGCAGGTCTGTCTGCAGCTCTGTCTGCAGGTCTGTCTGCAGCTCTGTCTGCAGCTCTGTCTGCAGGTCTGTCTGCAGCTCTGTCTGCAGCTCTGTCTGCAGGTCTGTCTGCAGGTCTGTCTGCAGCTCTGTCTGCAGGTCTGTCTGCAGGTCTGTCTGCAGCTCTGTCTGCAGCTCTGTCTGCAGGTCTGTCTGCAGGTCTGTCTGCAGCTCTGTCTGCAGGTCTGTCTGCAGCTCTGTCTGCAGGTCTGTCTGCAGCTCTGTCTGCAGGTCTGTCTGCAGCTCTGTCTGCAGGTCTGTCTGCAGGTCTGTCTGCAGCTCTGTCTGCAGGTCTGTCTGCAGCTCTGTCTGCAGCTCTGTCTGCAGCTCTGTCTGCAGGTCTGTCTGCAGGTCTGTCTGCAGCTCTGTCTGCAGCTCTGTCTGCAGGTCTGTCTGCAGCTCTGTCTGCAGGTCTGTCTGCAGGTCTGTCTGCAGCTCTGTCTGCAGGTCTGTCTGCAGCTCTGTCTTCATGTCTGTCTGCAGCTCTGTCTGCAGCTCTGTCTGCAGGTCTGTCTGCAGCTCTGTCTGCAGGTCTGTCTGCAGCTCTGTCTGCAGGTCTGTCTGCAGGTCTGTCTGCAGCTCTGTCTGCAGGTCTGTCTGCAGCTCTGTCTGCAGGTCTGTCTGCAGGTCTGTCTGCAGCTCTGTCTGCAGGTCTGTCTGCAGCTCTGTCTGCAGGTCTGTCTGCAGGTCTGTCTGCAGCTCTGTCTGCAGGTCTGTCTGCAGCTCTGTCTTCATGTCTGTCTGCAGGTCTGTCTGCAGCTCTGTCTTCATGTCTGTCTGCAGGTCTGTCTGCAGCTCTGTCTGCAGGTCTGTCTGCAGCTCTGTCTTCATGTCTGTCTGCAGGTCTGTCTGCAGATCTGTCTGCAGGTCTGTCTGTAGATCTGTCTGCAGGTCTGTCTGCAGGTCTGTCATGATGCCTAGAACAAGGGAGGTTTATGGCCCCTATTCAGACAATGCCTTTCTGACAGGTTGGTTCTCAGGTGGAGCTCTTTTTAGCTGCTAATATTATTTATTTGTTTTTTGTTTGTTTGTTTGTTTGTTTGTTTGTTAATGCAGGTGAGAAACCAGGTTTCACCATAGGACCATACCATGCCAAACCGTATTTATTTGTATAGCAGATTTAAAAACAGTGTGTTAGCTGACCAAAGTGCTGCACAGAGTAAAAACGTCAGACGTTAAACCACAAGGTTAAAGTTCACCTTCATACACACAGAGTGCATGTCTAACAGTCATGAGAATAAAAACAGATGTGATCAAAATAGAGACTAAAACTGTTAATAAAACGAAGATGCGGAATAAAAAGGACGCTCTTCGGCCAAAAGCTGGATGAAAGCAGTAGGTATTGCAGTCGGATTTAAACTGTGCCAGTGAAGGAGTCTGGTGCACGGACAGAGGGGTGCAGTTTAGGTGCAGCAAAAGTGAATGCATGCTCTCCCAAGCTTTGTAGCTCATTTTGGGAACTCATAGCGATACGTGGTCAGCAGACCTTAATGACCTGGAGGGAACGCAGGGCGAGGGCAACTCCAACAGGTAGAGGGGGCTAGACCATTTAGAGCTTTAAAAGCAAAAATTAAAAATGTGACGTGCACTCAGTAGTGCACGGGGAGCCAGTGTAGACCAGTCAGAACGGGTGTGATGTGACAGCATCTGCTTGAGTTTGTAAGAAATCTTGCTGCAGCATTCTGAACTTAAACGACCGAGGGCGGATGCATCAACACCAATGAGAACGGAGCTTGCATAGTCCATTCTGGAGGTGATAAATGCGTGAATGACAGATTCCAAGTGTGTGTTTTTTTTTTTGAGAATGGGCTTTAGTCGGGTCAGGCGACGGAGCTGGAAGAGACAAGATCTTACAGTGGCATTAGCATACGCAGACATGGACAAGTCGGCATCTAACTCAATGCCAAGGCTAGTCACGCAGGTTCTAAGGTTTAGAGGAGAGATCCAAGTCAGTTGCAGATCATTTCTTGGTTTGAAAAGAAAGGCCTCGGTCTTATTGTCATTGAGCCTTAGGAAGTTGGAAGCAAGCCATGTTCTGATGTCCAAAAGACATTCTTGAAGCAGATTAGTGGAACTTGACTGATTTAGAGTGAAATAAATCTGACAGTCATCAGCGTAGAGATGTTAGTGCAAGCCATGTTAAGCTAAAATGTTACCCGGGGGAGAACGTAGATGAGAAAAAGGAGTGGATCCAGAATAGACCCCTGGGGCACTCCTCGGGGAGTAACTCAAAAGGTGAAGAGCAGTTGTCCGTGTGGACGCTGAAGCTTCCATCAGTCAAACAGGAGTGGAACCAGTGACTCCGACCCACGATTCCAGCCTGTTCAACAGAATATTGTGGTCGACTGAATCAGATGCTGCTGAGAGGTCGAGCAGTAATAACAGGACATAGGAACCAGCATCAGTTGCTCCATGGTTTTCACTCAGCACACGAATGTGTGCAGATCCAGTGCTATGGTCAGGCCTAAAGGCAGACTGAAAATGGTCAAGCAGAGAACAATCTTCTCGATGATGGGGGGCTGCATGGACCACTTTCATAAGAACCTCAAGGACAGATGAAACCGGTATTTGTTTACTTTAGGGGTTAAAAGGCCGTCTTTGCTCTTTCCGCCGATCATTTGGGTCCAACTCACGAGTTCACATGGACTGAGTTTTCCGCTGCTGACAACAGGAACTGTTGTCCCGGTTTGCCAGGCTCCTGCGACGCTTTTCTAACTGGTATTTTTCTGTTTCCTGTTCTCTCACCAGCAGCTGAGAGGAAAAGGAGGTGGAATCTGAACAGTGTCTGGTTTCTGGCTCTAAAGTTATCAGCCATGCTGGCAGAGTCACCAAGCACCCGGCGGTCGGCTCCAGAACTCAGCATGGTTTAAAACGCAGTGAGAAGCTCTGGCACTGCTACACTCCTCAACATCTGGAGCCCAGTGTTCAAGAACAGCTGCATCACTCGCCCACTTCATGAGCCAGCAGGATGCAGCCGAGGTCCTCGCACTCTCCGAGCGCCTCCTCATAGCTGCACACAAGGGACAGGTCGAATGTGTGGTCCAACTTATCAACAAAGGTGCAAAGGTAGCCGTCACCAAGGTGAGTTTGATCAAACACGGATGGGCTAAACACGCAATGGTACTTCTGATCAATCTCATGAATCATTTATCTGAAGAATTCTCCTCCTGGTGACCCAGATCTTCCTGTTTCATCTGCAGGTAATTGGTTTTATACAACCAATCTAAAGGCTCACTGGTGATTTAAGTGGACTCATTGGTGAATGACCTCCTCACCATGGTGGACCCTGGGAGTTGTGCAGTCCATTTTTGGACATTTGGTAGGGCGATCTGGTCCTAGATGAAAGACAAAACAAAGCCCCGTAGAAAAGATATTTTATGAGTTTAAAACCAGAGTACCTGGTGACCCGGCCTTTGCCGGTGGGGCCCAACCTGAACCTCATACATAGGCCCGTCCTCATGTGGACCTGCAGGAGGGACATGAAGGATCTGGTGCAGTGTGCATTTGGTGGAAGACCAGGGAAGAGGCCTTGGAGGTCCAATCCCCAGAACTGGCTTTTAGGACATGGACCATCACCTCTTAGTTTAGGACGGAGCTGGAGCTTTTGGAAGGGGTTGAGCAGTACCGGCTACGGTACAGCTGGGCAGTTTGGGACAATCGGGTGACGAGAGGGCCACGCATGTGATGTGTTAGGATGTCTACTATAGAAGACCCACGGTATAACGAGGTCTAGTAGTACAGAGGTCCTGTTCACACATCGGTGCTGAATGATCAGATATCGGTGTCCACTCAGACCCGTCTTGTGTACCACGACCCATTCAATTCAGTTCAGTTCAGTTCAATTCAGTTCAATTCAATTCAGTTCAATTCAAGTTTATTAATAAAGCACCAAGTCAGAACCAGAGTCGTCTCAAGGTCCTTCACACAGTAAACAACACAGGTCAGGTCATTCAGCCAATCAGTAACAAGTTTCCTATATAAGGAACCCAGCAGGTCGCATCGAGTCACTGACTAGTGTCAGAGTCTTTACAGCAATCCTCATACTAAGCAAGCATGCAGCGACAGTGGAGAGGAAAACTCCCTTTTAACAGGAAGAACCTCCAGAGGATCCAGATTTCCCAGACAGTGCAGTATGCAGACAAACACAGGAAGACGTTCTGGGAGTTTTCTTCTGACTGGAGATTTTACATTTGTGTTTTACATGTATTAGTCTTCAGCAGCGGGCTTTTGTGGGGGTTGGGGGTGGAGTGTGTGTGTTGTGTGTGTGTGTGTGTGTGTGTGTGTGTGTGTGTGTGTGTGTGTGTGTGTGTGTGTGTGTGTGTGTGTGTGTGTGTGTGTGTTAAGCATCACTAGAGGTGATTTAAGGATGGGTCTGAGAACCACTAGCCCTGACTCGGTGCCTCTCCACTGGTACTGGTTCAGACGGGGAGCAGGGGGCACCCTCCCGTGCCTTTACGTGAACAGCTGTGCAGACCGTGCGCTGCTCTGTTAAAACTTAGATTAAGGATTTGTTCCGTTCCGGCAGATTTATGCCTGCGATACTTTTCACTGTGACAGATGCAGCAGCAGCATCGTAACGCTGTGGTGGGTTGTGTGTGTTTCTGTGTCTGCAGTATGGCAGGACCCCCCTGCACTTGGCCGCCTACAAAGGCCACTTGGAGGTCATACGGGTGCTGCTGAAAGCTGGCTGCAACCTGGACGTCCAGGATGATGTAAGTAGATGAACCCATCCATCAGCCGCGGGGCCGGGGTGTGTTTTTACCCATCTCCACTCCTGACTGATGGTTACCAGCAGCTGCTTGTCCTTTTGTTTTCAGATCCTTTTAAGCTGGATTTACAGTTCCAGCTCTAGACTGTATCTGTGTCCTAAGTAACCGTAGCCCGATGGCCTCGAGTGGCCTTGAGTGGGACCCTCTAGACTGCCCACTTGTGGGTGTGCCTGCAGCACGTGAGCCTCTCTCCCACACAGACGGTGGCAATCCTGATCCCTGGCACTGTAACGTTCACTTTCTGTGGTCACTGAGTTCTGCAACCGGCTGCAGTACATCCTCCAGGACATGGGAGAGCAGGAGGTGCAGGCTAAAGCAGCAGCAGGAGGAGGAGGAGGAGGTGAAAGGAAGAAGTCAGAGGAGAAAGGCTGGAAAAGATCCAGGAGGATCAGAGAAAGAGAAGGAGGTTAGATAAAATACTCTTCCTGAGCCTCCCCCCAGTCCCTCCCCCTTTCCTTCCATTTCTCCTCCAGTGGTGTTGTGCTCGGCTCACTTTTTATCTGGCTTGGAATGACCTTTTCTCTACTTTTCTTCCCGTTTATCCTGTTTTTTTCCCATGGAGTTGATGTGCATCTTCCTCCCGGTGCTCTTGTGTCCGCTCGGTGTCCTCTCTTATCTCCTCTTCATCGGGCCTGGACTTCAGGACTTGAGCAGACATGAGCTAAGCCGTTACCAGGAACTGCTGTGTCTGCAGCTGGACCCTCATAACTGCTCAGAGCTTGGTTGGATAAAGGGAATTTAATAAACTTACTGCTTTAATGGAGTTTTATTTCATGAAAATATGGAATTAGGCTCGTGTCTTGCTGCTCTTCTCGGTGCTTCTCATGCTTAGTTCAGATTAGCTGTGACCCTTTCAGTCTGTATGGATTTATAGATGTGGCGGGGGAATGTTGCTTCTCTCTCTCGTCCTGGAAGTTTTCTCTTTTGTTATTCGTGACACGGAGTCGGGTCATTTCAGATGAAGGATCTGTAGATACAGTCTCAGTCCACCTGTTGCTATTATCAGGATCTTTAGTCTAGACGAGTTTAAATAACAGATGTTGTTTATTTTTACTCTGACAGGTTTTGGCTGACATCCTCAGACGTGTCACCAAGTGACACGTCTTTATTTGCTAACCTGTTTCTACCTGCTGGGAAACAGCTGATAAAATCCAGCAGCTGGAGTCCAACCACATCAACCAGCTCCATCATGTCTCAACATCAGATGATCTTAGTTTCAATTCTGCCATGAGAGGAGGCTGGGTGTATGTGAAACTGAAGATTTCACACCAACTCACCTCTTCGTGTGTGAGAGCAGATACCGTAATGATCCTCAGGAGGCCACGGAGAAACGGTCTGAACTGAGAAAAGCTGGTTTAACGCGTCATGAGCTTAGACCACAACCCCCTTACATGCATCTCCCAATCCTCTTCAGTCTTAGACATAAGTCGTTTTCAGAACAACGCTAAGCCAAGCTACTGCTAGCCTGAGCCAATGCTAACGTTAGCTTGAGCTAACACTAACATAAGCCTGAGCCAACGCTAATGTTAGCTTGAGCTAACACTAACATAAGCCTGAGCCAATGCTAATGTTAGCCTGAGCTACTACTGATGCTAGCCTGAGCCAACCCTAATGCTAACCTGAGCCAATGCTACTGGTTAGCCTGATCTATTGCTAATGCTAGCCAGAGCCAACACTTACACTAGCCTGAGCCAATGATATTGTTAGCATGAGCTACTGCTAATGCTAGCCAGAGCCAACACTATCGCTAGCCTAAGCTAACACTAACATTAGCCTGAGCCAACGCTAATGTTAGCCTGAGCTAACACTAACATTAGCCTGAGCTACTCCTAATGCTAGCAAGAGCCAATACTAACACTAGCCTGAGCCAACGCTAATGTTAGCCTGAGCTACTACTGATGCTAGCCTGAGCCAACCCTAACGCTAGCCTGAGCCAATGCTACTGGTTAGCCTGATCTATTGCTAATGCTAGCCAGAGCTAACACTAATGCTAGCCTGAGCCAATGATAATGTTAGCCTGAGCTAATGCTAACATTAGCCTGAGCTACTGCTAATGCTAACAAGAGCCAATACTAACGCTAGCCTGAGCCAACGCTAATGTTAGCCTGAGCTACTACTGATGCTAGCCTGAGCCAACCCTAACGCTAGCCTGAGCCAATGCTACTGGTTAGCCTGATCTATTGCTAATGCTAGCCAGAGCCAACACTAACGCTAGCCTGAGCCAATGATAGTGTTAGCCTGAGCTAATGCTAACATTAGCCTGAGCTACTGCTAATGCTAGCCAGAGCCAACACTATCGCTAGCCTAAGCTAACACTAACATTAGCCTGAGCCAATGCTAATGTTAGCTTGAGCTAACACTAACATAAGCCTGAGCCAATGCTAATGTTAGCCTGAGCTACTACTGATGCTAGCCTGAGCCAACCCTAACGCTAACCTGAGCCAATGCTACTGGTTAGCCTGATCTATTGCTAATGCTAGCCAGAGCCAACACTTACACTAGCCTGAGCCAATGATATTGTTAGCATGAGCTACCGCTAATGCTAGCCAGAGCCAACACTATCGCTAGCCTAAGCTAACACTAACATTAGCCTGAGCCAACGCTAATGTTAGCCTGAGCTAACACTAACATTAGCCTGAGCTACTCCTAATGCTAGCAAGAGCCAATACTAACACTAGCCTGAGCCAACGCTAATGTTAGCCTGAGCTACTACTGATGCTAGCCTGAGCCAACCCTAACGCTAGCCTGAGCCAATGCTACTGGTTAGCCTGATCTATTGCTAATGCTAGCCAGAGCTAACACTAATGCTAGCCTGAGCCAATGATAATGTTAGCCTGAGCTTATGCTAACATTAGCCTGAGCTACTGCTAATGCTAACAAGAGCCAATACTAACGCTAGCCTGAGCCAACGCTAATGTTAGCCTGAGCTACTACTGATGCTAGCCTGAGCCAACCCTAACGCTAGCCTGAGCCAATGCTACTGGTTAGCCTGATCTATTGCTAATGCTAGCCAGAGCCAACACTAACGCTAGCCTGAGCCAATGATAGTGTTAGCCTGAGCTAATGCTAACATTAGCCTGAGCTACTGCTAATGCTAGCCAGAGCCAACACTATCGCTAGCCTAAGCTAACACTAACATTAGCCTGAGCCAATGCTAATGTTAGCTTGAGCTAACACTAACATAAGCCTGAGCCAATGCTAATGTTAGCCTGAGCTACTACTGATGCTAGCCTGAGCCAACCCTAACGCTAACCTGAGCCAATGCTACTGGTTAGCCTGATCTATTGCTAATGCTAGCCAGAGCCAACACTTACACTAGCCTGAGCCAATGATATTGTTAGCATGAGCTACCGCTAATGCTAGCCAGAGCCAACACTATCGCTAGCCTAAGCTAACACTAACATTAGCCTGAGCCAACGCTAATGTTAGCCTGAGCTAACACTAACATTAGCCTGAGCTACTCCTAATGCTAGCAAGAGCCAATACTAACACTAGCCTGAGCCAACGCTAATGTTAGCCTGAGCTACTACTGATGCTAGCCTGAGCCAACCCTAACGCTAGCCTGAGCCAATGCTACTGGTTAGCCTGATCTATTGCTAATGCTAGCCAGAGCTAACACTAATGCTAGCCTGAGCCAATGATAATGTTAGCCTGAGCTTATGCTAACATTAGCCTGAGCTACTGCTAATGCTAACAAGAGCCAATACTAACGCTAGCCTGAGCCAACGCTAATGTTAGCCTGAGCTACTACTGATGCTAGCCTGAGCCAACCCTAACGCTAGCCTGAGCCAATGCTACTGGTTAGCCTGATCTATTGCTAATGCTAGCCAGAGCCAACACTAACGCTAGCCTGAGCCAATGATAATGTTAGCCTGAGCTACTGCTAACATCCTTGCTGGATGAGAGGAAAACAGCAAAGAAGAATGTTGGAGCACACGTGCAACGTTCCAGGATGTAGTAGGAACATCCAGACTATGAATGAATGCTAGATAGATCCATCTCATATGGAGTTATCCAGATACTGTAGACAGACGCTGTGTGC